TGAGGAGACTTGCTGAGCCTGAACACTGGGAGAACAGCTATGATAGAGCAAGCTGTGGTGCAGAAATCACTCTCAGAGTCTGGAGTGCCCGAGCCTTTGCACTGTTGGCCACTCCAAGGCAGGGAAGTGTCTGTGCACAAGGTGTTATCAGTGCCCAGATCCAGTCCCGCTAAAAGAAGAAACTACTAAAGAATATTTTGCGAGAGCATCCAGCATTGCATTCAGGCTGAAAGAAAGGCATGGGGATTTCTCAGGAAGGGACAGTGAGCCTTCCTGCCTCACCAGGCATTTTCATTTCACTCTTAGCATCCAGTAATTACAACCTGACAGATCAAATGCTCCACTTAGAGCTACTGATTTCCAAATAACATTCGGGTCAGATACTGCAGAATCAAGCTTTCCAGAACATTCCATCATAAGCCACATACATTCCCCACCCTAGAAGAGAGCAGAACCAACCTTTCTCCAGCAGGAAAAAGTGCTGGTGAGGCATATACTTACGGCGTCGGGAAGCAGGTCTAGCAGCCCAGAGGCAGAGAATCACCCTGTGGGAAGGTGGGCATTGAAACCCCCACATCCTGGCCCACCATCATGTGTATTCACACTGCCTTCCTTCTGTTCCCCCAGGTGTGGGACCCTTTTTCTCCATCCTCAGAAGGGACACGTAAACTTGCCGACTGCCATGAGCAGCCTGTCTGACAGCCTCCCCAGTGTGGAGGCTGTGGTAGGTGTGATTCACCATGGCACATCTGTCGAGCTTGCCCAGGAGAAATTACAGGTTTGTCCTGTCTGGAGTAAACCCATCACCATGACTCACGTGTTTGTCCTTCAAGTCTCAGTGGATCACCTGAGGCTGTTAGTGCAGTTCCAGTGAGGGTGACAGGATGCAAGGCTGTACCACTCCATGAGCATGAAGTGAAAGGCTGTGCTGCGCATCTGTCACCTGTCCCCACATTGACCTTAGAGAAAACTGCCTGAGGATCTGAGCAGGAAACTGTGATGTAATCTCTCCCTGGGCTTCAGCAGAATTTCTGTTTCACTTTTCTAAAGACTGGGCAAGGCATTCTCCCTCAGTCTCTCTGCATGACTACAGGGGCTCAGACTCGGGAGAGAAGAAAGAGGTCCCCACACATGAGAAGCTTCACAGGAAATAACATCAGATGGCACAGCAGACTGGACTGGCCTGCCTGCCCCCAAATACCCTACCCATCCTATTGCCGGTGTCTCCTGCTTATAGGCCTCTTTCTGAAGATCTGCATACCTCACGTGGATGCTACTGGGCAGATGTTGCCAAGGAGGAGAAAGAGGGAGCTGAGGGTGTTACCTACCTTCCAGCAATGAAGGTCAAGGAGGCAGTGCCTGAGGAAAGGGCTCACTTCCACTGAGGTCATTCCCAGGATAAGACAGGGTCCCTGAGGTTTGAAAAACCAGGCCAAGTGGTTGTGCAATCAGAGAACTTTATTGAACTCATTCAATGAGCACATGCTACATACAAGGCACCTTACAGCACAAACACACAAAGGAATATGAAGAACACAGCAAAGATGACAAGGCATAGCCCTAGTTGTCAAGACTGGCTGTCTTATCCAAGATAGAAAATAGGCACACAAAAAGACCAAAGGAAACAGATCACATAAAAAATAAATACTGATGTACCATGAGGGGCACAGACTATAAATAATATGCCCAATGTGTGGGAAGAATGGGCATTTCTGGCTGCACCCACCAGAGAAGGCTTCCCAGAGAAGGCAGGAGGCGAGCATGTGCATCCAGCCTTCCTGGGAAGGGAGCCTCGTGCAACCAGGGAAGACAGACTGGATGAAAAGTTCTTCGGCCGGCCACTGCAGATTTCACTGGCTGGCAACCCTAACACTGAGCACACCAAGTCAAATGTCAATTCTTTTGTTTAGAAGTCAGTTAACCCATTCCTGTGAGGGTACCTAGGTCCAAACCTCTGCAAAAGGCCACAGATGAGTTTTCATGTGTCTTGGTTGGAGGGGGGCAACACAGGCACGTTAATTGAAAAACAAAAGCTGAATCTTAGTGAATAATTATTACTGGCCAGGTACCCCCTAAGCCCTCTACCCACATTTATTCATTTAATCTTTACAGTCATCCTGTGAGGTAGGCTCTGTTATGCTCAGTTCATAAAAGAGACAGCCACATCTGAAATTACTCCCAAGGATACCAGGACAGCCAGGAGGCTCGCTAGGGTGTGCCCACCCTGCCTCAGGGAGTGGGTGGGCCAAGCACTTAGGGCTTTCCAGACAGGTTGTCCTTGTCTGCTCAATGCTCATCCTACTATGGGACAAGTGAACTCCTTCCTAAGACTCATCCACAGGCAGGGTCTGTCACCAGCTTGCTTCCTGAGACCCCCCACACTCATGGCAGGGTGCTGGATTTGTGTGAGTGCCACTTCTCTGTGCAGAAATCAGTTCCCTGGGAGGTGCCAGCCTGTGCCCACAAGGGACACCCTGTGGGCGCACTGATGAATGACACAGCGAGCCAACTCTTGGGCCCTGTCTGGAAACCATGCTGCTGTTGTCCCAGTGTGGGTGACCACGGGAACAAAGCTCTGTCCAATGCAGGGCATGCATGCCCCAGCTTCTGACTGCCCTCCTTCCTGTACTGTTGTCTTCTCCAACTGGCCTACTTAAAACAAAGAGAGGCAGAGAGACCCTGTCCATGCACAGAGGGACCTCAGTTCCCCTAAGTGGATATGGCATCTCAGTTGGTCCCTGCTCCGAGACATTACCTCCTGACTTCCCGCAGTGGCAGCCACCTGAGTATGGCTCTGGAAGTGTCTTCAGACCACAATGTGGTTCTCTATCGGGTGACACTTGCTTTGACTGCTAGACGGCTTACATGCATCGCTAGGAAAATGAGCAGTTTTGTTCCTGAGACACAACATTTGCCTTCCCCCATCATGGGCATCAAGCACACATGTTGCTGGTTTCAGGAAGTATGGATAAAATGATTCCCTGGGCCACATGGTCTGGGAGCATCATGAGCTGAGAGGAGCAGCAAGAACTTCCTCCTCCCCTCAGCCATTGATGATCTGTGACTCACATCTCAAGGTTTTTGTCTGCTTACAATAGGCAGCTTCTCACCTTCTAAGGTTTGCCTATCACTCTTGCCAAGACCTCGGCATCTGAGCCCAAGCCAACTGACCATCAGCTTAACTTTGACAGAGTGGAAGATGCAAGCCATTGGCTATGATCATAAAGAGCCAGCAGTGACCTCCTTAGACAACCTGACTCTCGATACTTATGTATAAGCATCTCCCTCCACAGCCAGGGAATTCTGCTGGGTGCTGCCCAAGCCCCCTCGGCCAAAGGTAAGTCCCAGCTTCCTCCTCAAGACGACTGGGACCCGCAGTATGGAGGTGGAGGAGCTCAGAAGATGGTGGCCCCACTCTTCGGAAAGGTCCACTCTGCCTCTGAGGGGACACTCTGGGTGACGTAGGTATTTACAGGAGATGGGCAGGTTTGGTGGCCTCCGTCTTCCCAGGCTTCTGCCCCTCCTCCACTCCACAGAGGGGCAGGCGTCACTGTGCTTCCCCTGCAGGCACTGCCACTTCCGGGTGAGTGACCTTGTTGGGAACAGGAAAGAGTCACCTTAGTGCACAGCAGCTGCACCTGGAGGGAAGGTGCGTGGAACAGCCTGTCCTGAGCCTTGAGGCCATCTCCTCCCTTGGAGCCAGGGAGCTGGCATGCTTCATTGCTTGCACACACTGAGTTGCACACCCATCTCTCTCTAGGGTTGGCCCTTTCCTTCCTTTTCAGTGCAGCTCCTCTTGGGAGAGACCCAGATCTCTGCACCAAGCCTTGGAGCTATGCAGAAGGCCTCACAGGATGCAGAGCCCGACTTATGGGGTGAGCAGCAGGCTCTCAGCAAAGCACCTGTCTCTGCAGCTCCATGGGAATCCAGGTGTAACCACTCTCCATCCCTCCTCCCACATCTCTGAGGTCCTGCCCACCCTCGGCCTCCCCACACTTCCCTGTCCCTGTGGGTCTTCTCCTAGGGAGGTCAGTATCCCTGTGTGTGCCTGTGTCCCACTCCAGTCTTCTACCTCAAGATCTAGGGCACACAGGGGAAAAGAATTGGAGGAAGTATGCGGTGCAGATCCAGGGATCAGGGTGGCTTTCTTCCAACCTGTGTCCCCAAGAACTTTAGTCTGTGTGTTCCCAACCCGCACTCCACCCCTGAGCTTCCCTGTGTAATTCGGTTTCTCTGTGTGCCTCTGTCCCACAGACATGACCTCCAATGTCTCAGAAACAGAGTTTGCCTCTCTTTAATCCTCCATGGCTAGAGAAAGATTAGGGCTGCAATGGGAAACTTGGGGGACATTGCAGGTTTGAAGTCAGATGCTTGGGAATGGAGCTGAGAGGCAAAGGAGAAGGGGAGCTGGGAAAAGCAGCTGCCTCTGCTTGGCCTCTGATGCCAGGCTCAGTCAGGCTGGCTTGCATTTCTGATGGTAGCCAGGGGAGAAAAGATGGACTAGGAGAAGCTTTTCCAGCAGAAAAAAATAATTTTTTCTTTGCAGAGTTAGGGATGGAGCCCAAGGCCTTCTACAAGCCAAACAATAGCTCAGTCACGGCTACACCCCCGACCCCTAGCAAAAATCAGTTCAGAGAAGGTTCCAGGTGACCGCAGATAGCACTCTCTGTCCTGGGGTGGAGCTGGAATGGGAGGAGATGGGAGGAAGGAACAGTAGACGTGTGCAGCCCACATCGGAATTCCATGGAGCTGGGTCTAATGAACGCTCAGCCTCTATCCCAGGAGCTTTGACTGCACCTTCCTCAAGGGGCTCTGGCTGAGGTGGCTCTAGGGTGCAGCCAGCACTGGAAGCCACTGGCCCCCGCAACCCTGAGGACCAGAAGGAGGGAGCCTTGGCACGCGGGCTGGGAGGCGCAGACACACGTCAGGCACCGTGCACAACCAGCAACACCACCAGCTGTTTGGGTGATGGCTTTGCATGTCACTACCTTGTCAAACGCTTAAGTGCAAAATGAAAATGATTTTACCTCTGATATCTTGGAAATCCAGTTCACAGAGTTTACTTGACCTCTTAAGGCTTCTCGGATCTGGATATTTAACAGAAAGGGTTAAGAGTTAAAAGGTGTAAGAAGCCACTGCCAACCTGGTGAACAGTGAGGCAAGGCTGCTTCGGGAGGTGGGGCCAGCAGCCTGGGGGGAAGGAGGATGCAGGGGGGGAGGGGACCAGGAGAGACAAGAGGGAGGCTGGCAGCAGAGTCCAGGGCTAGGCGGGGCCCACTGGCTATGCGAAGTACAGTTTGCCACAGGCTAAGCCTTACAAATGTAGGCTTGGTGTTATTTGTATTTTATGCAAACAGTCCATTGCTTCTCATAAATTAACTTTTCAAAGCTTGTCTAGATGGGAAAGTAGTGTAATACAACACAGCAGTGGTCTAGGGGCCAAGGAAATAAGAATAAATAACTATGGTACTTAACTGGATGGCTCTTTGTGTTATAACTCTGAAGGCCTCCAGCTGAGGGCGAGGGACGCTGTGCTCATCCTTTATAACACTGTCTCCTAACGTGCATAAGCCACACTTTGTACTTCAATAATAAGCACCTGTGGGATACACGCTCGGTGTTTTGGATCTTAAAAATTGGAGGACTCTTCATATATGGTTTCTTGTCAATGAATCAGGTATAACCTGGGACAATTTAAAGCATTTGCCTTTCAAGTTTTCTTTTTCTTTTTTTTTTTTTCTTTCTTTCTTTTTTTTTTTTTTTTTTTTTGTATTTAGTGCAGGATCTACAGGGTCTAACTACACAGATCAGACTTATAGTGATTCTCCTATTTTCAGCCTCCCAAACGCTAGGATTACAGCTGCACCTCTGCACGCTGTCGCAGCCTGCCCTGCGACTGGAGCCAGCACAGCACGCCGGGGATCAAACCCTGGTCCCTGCATCTTGGGTCCACTGAGCTACCTAGCTGGCCCCTCAAGTTTTCATCTTAAGTGCAAGAGAGTTTGGCTTTGCAGGAGGCTTTATAAATGTGAGATCTTTGTACATCACAAAACCTAGGAGCCACTAAGGAATAAAGCAGCAGCTGCAGCTCCTGCTGCTGCTGATGCTGCTGCTGCTGCTGCTGCTGCTGCTGATGATGATGATGATGATGATGATGACGATGATGATGATGATGATATGAATGCTGCAGCTCTTACTCAGACACTAGCTAGGTGCGGCATTTAACAAACGCCCCTACTGTACCTAGGACCGTGTGAGCCTCACGTGTGTTCTGTGTTCACCTATACGTGAGCTTGCCCCTTTCCATGATCCAGTGGAAAAGGTAGAGATGGCACCCTTATCCAAGTAAGGAATCTGGAATTTACAAAACTAACCCAGGACCACAGAGCTGGCATGGGTACTCCTCGACTTATGGCAGGGCTCTGTCCCAGAAACCACTGCAGGTTGAAAGTACCCTAAGTCAAGAGCGCGTGTGATGCACCCAACTCCTGAACTGCACGTAATAGTGGAGAATCGGCGTTCACCCTTCTAGTCACTCTTTTATTGGGAGGCTATCGTTTGCTATCACCAGCGAGCACCACACTGCATGCTGCTGGCCCAGGAAAGGCTCAAAATTCAGAATCTGAAACCAAGCGCAAGGTCGTGAGTTTGATCCCTGGTACCACCAAAACTAAAACCAAGTCTGAAATCAAGTTCAGCCCCGTGTCATCACAAGATCAAAATTCTTAAGTCGCACCTATGAGAGTTAGTGAGCAACTATACATTGAAGTAGCAAGGCCAGGAATCTTCCACATCTGAATGCTTCTTACTAGCTTTAATGGTGCCCTTAATAGACAATGCAAGAATCATCCTGAAATTGTTCGTTCGCAAGCCCTTGATACTGACTTAATCGCGTGACAGCTTATATGTAAATGCCTAACAAAGCTCCCAGTCCTGCAGCGAGGATGCCTTCATGTTTGCCTGTGGTCTGCCTATCCAACCTGATTAATACAACCTCACTCTAGCTGAGCAGGCGTTTGCATTAACATCTGAGGGAGGTGTCTGCTTCACTGGAAGCAGGTGCACAGATGGAAGAGCTTGTCTCTGAAGCCCCCGTGAATGTGTGCTGTATGCCCCTGTGTTCGTGCATCTTCTTCACTTACAGCCTGTCCACACCCACTGGGTCAGGGTAACCCCAAACCGGGCTCCCTGACCCACAGGACAGAACTCATTCCCCAACCCTAGTACCATGCAGGTTCAGCTTTGTGGTCCGGCTCAGCCAATCAGATCCCTTGTGCAGGACAGCAAGTGTCACCAAAGGCCGGGATGTGAGTGAGACCAGGCAGCACTAGGGACAGCAGTGGCATCTCTAATGGCAGATCTATGTCCTACACTGGAAACCTTTGTGGGGTGTAGCCTGTACCCCAAGGAGAGAGCCTCCCAAAGATGGTACTATAGGACGCAATGTACCTGTTTTCTGCCTCAATGAATCGGAGTGCTTTCTACCTGAGATTTTGTATGACGTAGGAAGCATCTCATCCTTATCTGTAAAAATGAAACTAGCAATACCTCGTCTGTGCATCTGCACCAATGGCTGAGCTGACAGGCTGTCGCTTAGTGGTGACCAGAGCACCCACGTCAAGCCCACCCCTGAGAATGCAGAAAATGGGAAGACTTCACATACAGTACCTTCGGGTCCAGGATTGTGACAAACACCAGGATGAAGAAGCCCTGTGAAGATGGAAAAGGAAGAAGAACTATTTAAAAGAAAAATTAGGATAACAAATGCCAGTATTCATCACTACGCCACTGTTTTAGTCAGAAGAAAACAATTTAGTCTAATCTTTGAATTTCCTACTTTAAGGTTATAACAGCTGAATTCATTCATTCAACCTGGGCCAAGCTACTCCAGGCCTAGGAAAAGCATCCGTGAACCAACAAAGCAAGGGTCTGCTTCACACAAGAGCACTTTAGAAGCCTTCCAAAGTAAGCAACTATAGGTGTTTTGCACTTAGTAGGAGCTGCACCTCTCATTAGAATGTAACAATCTAAACCAGGTACACATTTATAAGTCCTACTATGCAGGAGGCTGAGGCAGGAATACCAAAAGTTTGAGGCTAGCCTAACAAACTTAGTAGCTCAAAATTAAATTAAATTGCAAAAAGGTAGGGGGGCTCAAGAGATGTTCAGTAGAAGGGTACTTTCCTTAGATTCGATTTTCTATACAAAAAGAAGAAGGAGAAGAAGAAAAGGAGACAGAAAAGGAAGAGAAGGGAAAGAAAGAAATGAGAAAGAAAGAAAGAACAAACAGACAGACTGAGGATAGTATAACCCAAGAAAGAGTCACAGGAGATGCTAGGCAAGAGGTAACAGGTTTGCAGTCCGTACAAGAGGTAACAAGAGAAATATCTGCAGAAAAGAGCAAAACCAGGCACTGTCCATATATTGTCACTCTTCTCCCAGCCACAGCAAAGAATATTATGAAACTTGCAAAAGAAAACCAAACAGATGCATCTTCAGAAAAAGTAATAATCCACAAAAGAGATTGAGTTTCTAACCCTACCAGAGATTGTCCAAGTAGGAAGAGGCAGAAAAAACTAAGCAGTCCTTCCAGCTCTCATGAGCACACAGAGAAAGGCCCTGTCAAGTCAAAAACAGACTGCTCCTCTACCATTATGGTAGAGCTGAGTTTCTACTGTGTTTTCATACATTGGTTCAAAAACCCTCTGGAGGAAGGAAGCAAGTATTCCTGTTTTTCAGATGAAGGGAAAAAAGTGTGGAGGTTCCATGTTCGAAATGGGACAGAGGGCAGCATTCACACTCAAAAGTTTTCGTGAATGTTGTTTCTCTCCAGTTTCACAAGGGACTGACTGTGAACTCAGCCAGAGGTTGCTGAGGTCCCTGGGTCCAACACAACTGGCTCCACAGAGCTGTCACACAGTCGCCCTTCAGCAAGAGCTTGATCGACATTACTGCCTACACAGCGAGACCAAAACTGGGTGGAGAGATGAGGGCTTCAGCGGACACGGAACAGCCTGGCAGCTCTCTCTGCCCTAAACGTGCCGGGGTTGCTCCCTCCAGCCAGCCCCACTAACACTCAGCAGCTTGCACCAGCTCACTGCTCAGGGTGATGCGGTTTACCTGCAATGGAATTATTAAAATCTGCCATCAGTCTAATAAGAAGTCTAACATGGTAGCTGGCATGGCCCACTGGGTTCCAAAGTGTCATCTTTATCAGGACACTTGGGACAAACACACTCCAGTCTGCTTTAGGTCCTACAAATACATTTTAAATGAATTTGCCCAAGAATCAGATTTTTTTGTTTTAAAGATGTAGGAACCATAACCGCAATTCTAGCACCTCTCTCCCCCCACCCCCTACAACCACACACACACACACACACACACACACACACACACAAAGCCTATGGTATATGGCTAAAGGATTAGAACCAATTTCTCTTCTCCTCAGATGTTAAGTTTCTTGGGGTTGGGTTATTTATATTTTTATTTGCAATATTTCACTGATTTATAATGATTGACAGAAAATAAATACTAAATACAGTGTGTCTACATTTGAGTGTGTGCTTCACAACCATACTGTGCACCCTGAACCCATACATATAAGGGGGTAACAGGAAAAATATTCCATTGAGACCACTTCTTGTTTTTTAGGCCAACTTGGGAAAGATAATCACAGTATTCAGAGGACTCATGTCGGAGGTTAGTTGTGGAACTTAGTATCTGCTGGAGCAGATGTGACAGGACACATCTAACGCAACCTGCCCACAACTCTTGGGATTTGAAGGCCAATTTGGGCAAGGAAGCTTCAAAGCGTACCACTGGCCTTTTGCATCTATATTTCATTTTTCTCCTGCCAAAAAAGGTAAGACGCTGATTTGAAAACTGTCTCACCAGTTACTATATATCTAGGGTACAATAAAAGAAATATTTTATAGGTCTTTAGAAAAATTAAACCTTTCTTTTTCATTAATTGATACCTATATATGTGATATTTGATTTCAAAACTTCTTTGGCTCTTTATCAATAAAACTGTGATAGAAAAAATATGGGGAAAAAATTCCAATCAAGAACAAACTTAAGGGGGCCGGGGAGATGGCTCAATAGAATAAGCGCTTCCCTGGCAAGCACAAGGGTCTGAGTTCAATCCCTTGTTCCGCAAAAAGAAAGAAAGAAAGAACAAACTTAATAAATTCAGAACATGATACAGGCATTAGACAGGCATGCTTATGTATATTAACACAGTAAAATTATGGGGCATATTTTCAAGTGAAAAAAACAAGTCACATAGTAACAGATATTGCTTTTTAACCCTTACATTATGTAAAAATGTATGCATAGGAAATTTGGCACGGATTCACATGAAACCATTGAGCAAGGATTCCATTGTGTAATTCACACAGATGAGGTAAGAGGGCAGAGAACTACTCTTCAGTACCAGTTAGATTAGCTTGCCTTGATAGAAACAGTGGTTTCTAAAGATAGCTAAAAGCTGTTAAGTGACAATACATATGGTGAATATAAGATTTTTTTTTTTTTTTTTTTTTTTTTTTTTTTGCTGGCTCAGCCTACCCTGATGGCTGGGCTGGTGTGGTATGTGGTGCTGGGGACTGAACTGTGGTCTCCTGCACCTGCCTATGCTTGCCTAAGGAGGTGCTTTAGACTGTTGAGCTATCTCAACAGCCCCAATACAAGAATTTAATTCCTCCATTTGTAAACTCAAATATTGGGGAAGGGTGATTGCTTAATTTCTAAATGGTAATAACTCACCCTATTAAAAGGCTATTTGTGATCCTTAGGTCATTTTAGGGCTTCATGCTTTGATGTTTACTGTTACATTTCATTTTCCAAATCCCTCTATAAAGGTGTGATGTTATACCCATTTGATGTCTGAGAAAAATGTGCTTAATGAAAGGAGATAAAATTCCAAGTCCATGCTCCATATTAGTAAATGGGAGAGGCAGATCTCAAACCCAAGGCTCTCTGGAACTAAAAGCCATTTTCTTCTATTCTATTGTCTAGGTCAAAGCCTAGTGCCCGGGCTCTTAAGCACAGACCCTCCGCTGGGAATCACTCCCCTTGGGCTTGGTTAGAATGCCTGAGCTCACCTGGAATGCATTGAGCAAAGAGAAGATGATGTGGAAGGCTAGCGAGCTGTCGTCAATGAGCGTGGCGACCCCAAAGCCCCAGGTCAGTCCTAGCAGTGGCGTGAGGATGGCGATGTTCTTGCAGATCCTTACGATGGCTCGCACTTCTTGAAACATGGAGCTGCCAAAGGAAACTCGCTGGGCCTTGCTGATGACCACTGCGATGACCACCAGGTTTACGACCACAATGGCCAGAGCTGGGACCACGAAGGCCAGCAGGGCCTTGGTCGTCTCCCAGTTGAGCCAGCAGGCATCAGCCCGTAGGTAGCCTCTGGCAGGTTCAGTGACACCAACTGTGACAACAGCAATGACCAAAGGGCACCCATAGCCCACTGAAAAGAGAGAAGCCACCAGGACTGACTTAGGCAGAGTGTGGAAAACGATCAGAACTCCATAGAGGATAAGGAGTGCCTTGGCGAGCATCCAGAAAAACACAGAAAGATAAAAGAAATGAATGAAAAATGTCACTACCACACATCCGTTGTAGTGTGTCTCAGGACCACTAAAACAGGAAGCCACAATGAACAGTACATCTGCTGTCAGTAAGGTGGCCACCACATTGGCAATGCACAGGTGACGTAAGTAGGAAATTTCTGTCTTTGTCACTTGATGCCAGACCAGACCCTCAATGGCTAAGCAAATAATCAAGCTGCAAATCGAAAGGCCCAAGCCTATGTAGGTGATATAAGCCAGAACCGGGCTTGCTGGAATGTGGGGCGACATAAGAATGGAGAAGGAGGTGAACAGCCCTCTTGGCCAACACTGGCAGATGGCATGCTGGGAGCTTGCTTCAACCATCTGACAGGCTCTGTGGTCCCATCTGTGCTCCAGGTGGTCCCAGCCTACACAACGGGTCTTCCTCTCCTCGGATTTGTGAATCTTTTCAAAATGCAGTGAGATTCTTTTAAGTTTCTCAGGCAAGATGACAGACAGGACAAGGCCATTCACAGTGACATTTTCCAAAAGACTGGCTTCTAAGATGGCCCCGAGTGTTGGAAAGGCGATGCAGATGATCTGAGAAGTGGAGGGTGCCGTCTGCAGCTCCTCTCTGCTGATAAGGACCTGGCCCGTGACTGGCCTGCTGCTCTCGTTCACTCTCATGAAGAAAGTAAAATTCTTCCCTTCACCGTCTGCAGGTATGACAGAGCCCATGGCATGGATAAAGGAGTCCTGTATGTTGACGGGATGCTTGTGTATCTGTAGCTTTCTTGCAAACGCGTTGACTGACTGGAGCAGGACACTGCAGCTGTTTCTTTCAGGAACAAAGGTCCAGTTTGCGATGCTACTGCTGTTCAGAACATGGTTAGCCATGGAGCAGTAACTCTGCCAATAGACAACTGGTGTTACTCAGAGCTGATCTCTGAAACTGCCCATGCATTTGGCATCAACTTGCAAAGAGTAGGCCTCAAACCAGCAATGGAAGCCTCCCAGAGAGGTTCCAAGACACCCAGGAGCTCAGGCCCACCTAACACTTATAAACCAGAACCAGCAATTTCTGGAGACTCTGGGTTAAGAGCACGCACAGAAAAGCCTCAGCCAGAGAAAGAGCTAAACAGAAACTGCTGGGCAGCAGGCAGCCTCAGGCCTCGTGTCCATCCTTGGGCCCTCTTCACTCTGCAGGGTACCTCCACAGCCTTCACAGTGCCCAGCAGGTAACCTACAGGAGCACACCATGGTAGAAGCAGAGGTGCAATCTACCCTCTGCTTCAAACATCAAAAGCCAGAGCAGGGGCTGGGGAGATAGCTGGGTAGTCTAAGTGCCTGCCTGGCAAGCACAAGGACCTGGGTTCAATGCCCCATACAACATGCCGCACCAGCCCCAGAACCCAGGGTGCACCGTGCCGGCCACCAAAACCAGGCATGGTGGCACACACCTATAATGCCAGCTCTGGGGAAGCTAAGATAGGAGGATCAGTATGAGTCTGACCTGGATGGTGAGACCCTGTACCAAATATATAAATAAATAAAAGACAAAAAAAATTTTTTTTAAGCCAAAGCAATATGGATCCCGTTTCCTTTGCATTGAGTTACTTTCTTTTCTAGCAACTTGCTCTAACTCACACCTCAAAATGAGAAAAGCCATTTTCTCTGCAGGACCTAGAATTTTTAACAGAGGCTCTAAGCAGCAAAAACAGACACTGGAAAAGCAGGCGCCAGCTTCTTCCGAGCATTCTGACAGTGTTCACTGATCCACCCTGTTCCCTCCTTCCCTTTCATTCTTAAACTTTTTTTTTTAATTTTATTTATTTGTGTGTGTGTGTGTGTGTGTGTGTGTGTGTGTGTGGCCAGCTCAGCCCACCAGCGAGAGGCCCTGGCTGGCATGTGGTGCTGGGGGATTGAACCGCAGTCCCTTTGTTTTGGCTAAACTTGTTCTAAGTAGGTGCTTTAGACCACTGAGCCATCTCGCCAGCCCCGGAATGGTAGAAGGTTTTTTTTTTTGGAAGCTCGAAATGCCTTTAGGGCATTTCTCGTTTGCAGTGACTCTCTGGTTTGGAACACCAGAAGCTTGAGCTTCAGGGCTTTGTTTAAGCAGGCACTTAAACAACTGAGCTGCTGGGCAGGTCCCCCCCTTTCATTCTTTCTTGGTGAAATTTGTGGCCCACTTGTAGGTCAGACACTGGAAATCCTGAGTGGAAAACACAGTCCCTGGCCCACGAGGGGCTCAGGGAGCATCCCAGTTGCCCAGCTGCCTCGCCCGCTCACCGTCATCTGCGCCTCGTCCACGTCCCTCATGGGCGCCGTGGAAATGTTGTGTAAGAGCTGCACAATGAGCTCAATGTTCCCTGGAAGCTGGGGCGACTGCTCGATCTTCCTGGTCACACAGGACAGGTCCTTTGGGCACTGCCGCAGCACCTTGTGGGCTATGCTGTCCGACGTCCCAGCGTCTTTGTCGACATTCACATCTTTCCCATAGCTGGCTGTTGTCTGTGACTTGTCCTAAGGGGTCGCAAAAACAAGGACACCCTTACTATCTCACATTTCTGCTCAGTGGAAAAACAATTGTACTAAAATTCAAAGCAGTGAGCTGTGGAGAAAGTTCAGTGGTACAGACGTCTGCCTGGCAAGCGCAAGGTCCTGAGTTCAACCCCCGGTACCAAGAAAATAAAATCATTAAATTAAATTCAAGGCAGCTTTATTATACAATTGTATCTGGAGAGAAGTCTTATTTTCCATTTCCAACGTCACAACTTACCGACTACATTCTCTCTCACACCTTCTGCCAGGCAGCAACTGTCACCTTTACAGACCAGCTTGTGTGTGTGTGTGTGTGTGTGTGTGTGTGTGTGTGTGCACGCGTGCTGTGTAGGTATCTGTGTATGTGTGCATAAATTTCTAGTGCAACTTAAGTTCATCTTCCTCATTCCTGACAGCCAGAGCTTGAGACACGAGCACATCTTGAGACGGAAACTCTGCACTGGATCTAGAGGAAACCAAGACAAGCAAGGGAGGAGGAAGCCCCCGGCCGGCCACACATGGAGAGGCTGGAGTGTGAGATTCCTGAGACAGATGCCACAGGAGCAGGTAAGGGAAGCCTCCCCAGAAAGGGGACCAGGATCAAAGGGAGGAGAAAGCTCTTGACCTGACCTTCTCTGCGGTGAGCCAATAAGGAAATATGTGATTACTTAAGCATGCCTGGAAATCGGTCGGCGTGGTGATGGGGCTCTTCACTCGGCTACTCACGCCTTAATGAGAACAGAAATGATAGAGCTGTCCGCGGAGAGCTTGATAGAGCACAGGTTCTGGGTCACCAGGGCAGGGTGGGCCTGGCTCTGCTCAGGCCTAAGGACTTGTCTGGGCTGCTGCTGGCCAGGGAGAGGTGGGCTGAATAGCAGAGCTTTGGGGTTAAGGGGTGGAGAGCAAGGATGTGGCAATATCCAAGGAGGGCTCTAGGCCCGTCCTCCAGCTCTGATCTAAATGATCTGAACTCAAGCTGGAGGAAACAGCTAGAATATCGAGGTGGGAAAACAACTAAACCTAGTGACTGGCTGAACCCCCATCCATCCAGACTGAGCGTCCTGCTACAGTAGAAGTGGCCTCACTGTAGCTCCTTCCTAGTCCTCTTCGCTCACAGAGAGGGTAGGGCCTAGAACTCCAGCCCCCGCATGCCCAGGGCTGAGGAGGGAGGGAGGGAGTGTGCTGCCCTTCCTCATGCTCCTCCTCCCCTCTCCAGCGCATTGCAGTCTTAAGCCAAGGCTCTCTTTGCCATTTGAGCCTTGTAAGAGGAAGGAACTTACCTCAAAGATGTTGTAGGCATTAAGGGTACGGCAGGTATCATTGACCTTGTGCCATAGCTGCTGCCTGCAGGCGAAGCCCATGCTTCCCTCAGTACCCGGCGGGCACAGCTTGCTGCACAGGGAACCAGCTTTACATGCACCTATGCACAGCTCTGGGAAGAGAGAAAGGAAAAGTCGTGAGTTCCACGCTGAACCAGGATAATCACCCAGGTGTCGCTATGGTAGGGGACTGAAATCCTGTAGATACAGAGACATCAGCTGTCTTTCCTTTGTAAAGTGGCAGATGATCAACATGGATCTGTGGTTGTCACACATGGTGGTGGTGGCCACAAGCACCTACAGTCCCCTGAAGAATCCAAGACTGAAGCCCAGTAGGCAAGAGCACACCTGCTCTAGTAGAAGTGAGTTGGAAACAGCACAGCCCCATGGTCGGGGCCCTTCTCATAGTCACAGAAGCCCACGGCCCAAGAGTGCCCCAAGTGGCTCTGGATGGAGTCCACTGCCCTGTGCTCCCCAAGAAGCAGGTGTGTCACATCCTCCTGGCATCCTCAGAGACCTGCTCTGCCCACCACCACAGCCCAGGTTAGCGCCATGTGAAGAACCAGCAACTAGCGCATGGGGCAGAGGGTGCCGGCAGGGAAGGAACCAGAGGTGAGGACCCAACATCACGCAGGGAAAAGAATCAGAGTCTAAGCAAAAGCCACAATGCTGGGCCAGAGACAAGGCTGGGGGTAGCCTGCTGTTGTGACACATACCCGTGGGTCTGGCAGACCCCTTCTCCTTGCTGTTTTTGGCAATCTGGAAGAGAACATCGAGATTCATGTCACCATCAATTGTCCAGATGCCATTCTAGTTCGTGTTAGTCACAGACTGATAACTGTGTCTGGGTCAGCCACAGACCAGCCTGGCCACCAGTGACCCCATGGTGCCTGCGGCTCTGCCAGTCTCCCGTGAAAATGGGCTGTGTTTTGCCTAGGATGCACATTATGGGCAGGGAGGATTTGCCAGGAAGCTAAAACAGTTTGGCTCTGCTTGTGCGGACCTCTCCAAGTCCTCTGAAGACACTCACGTGATCCCATCTGGTAAATTTTCAAAAGCAAAGTAACTCTGTCATCCTTTCCTGCTGTTATTTTTACCACCCCACCTCCCTGCTTATGCTCCACCCCACTGGGGTGTCACCAGAGAAGTGGATCTGTCTGTAGGGCCTGGACGAGGAGTCCAGTTGAAGATGCAGTTGGTTTAGACTCAATCAGACATTCCTTGGCAACATGCAGCCATTTCCCCATTACAAGAAACTGGAAAACAGCACCGGTTCTGGAAGAGTTGACCAAGAGTCACAGAACAAGATAGCTGGAGGCGTTCTGATATCCTAGTACCCACACACGAAGTGTGTGACAGAGGCCTCCTCAAACTCAACTACAGCCTGGCATACCTACATAGCACCACTAACGAAGACTGGAGACAGCGAAAGCTGTTCTGCTCAAGCAGGAATGCTAGGACAGCAATTTGCCCAGCAATGCTGGAGGGAAGACTGACTAATCTTCTGGTCCTACTTATAAGAAAGTATAAAATTGCTCGCTCACTAGTATGCAAGTAAAATGTAGGAACAAATATGGGCAGTTCATTAATAAAAAATGTCACAGTAGGGCTGGCCAGAGAGCTCAGTAGACTAAAGTGCCTGCCTAGGTAGAGTGCAGCGGCTGGGGTTCGATCCCCGGCGTGCCATGCTGGCCCCGTCCCCGTGGCACACTGAGATGGCCATGACTGAGACTGGGCGTGGTGGCGCGCACCTGTAATCCCAGCGCTTCAGAGGATGAACATAGGAGAAGCACTACAAGTCCGATCTACGTGGTGAAACTCTGTAGACCCTATACTAAATCCATTTTAAAAAAAAAAGTAACCATTTTCATGAGTTTGTTGCTAAATAATGCTGAGCAATTACAGATTATACAAAATTTGTATCGTGTGTAGATGAGAAACCTGTGGTGATTACTTCTCCCACTCTCAGAAAATAGCCACTTGCCGTAAATGTGTTTTCGTTTTATCTCTTGTGAGTCTCCCCCAAAGCCTGGCAGCCCCGTCCTGAGCAGCGCCCCCTTCTGGCCCACGCCCCACACATCAGACTTCTAGGAGCAAGCGGCTTGCTGACTTGAGCGCTGTCCACCAGAGCAGCCGCCCGGCTCGCTTTCCAACACTGCCTGTTGAGGAAGAAGAGCCTTAATCGCTCTGAGCCTCAGTTTCCCCTTTTGTCAGCGCAGTAAGACTGATGGTGCTAACTGTACGACGCATACCCCAGAGCAGGTTGTGCACGTGCTGCTGAAGATTCGGGTACCGTTTTTAAGCTAGACATGCAGACTGATCACACACAGAATCAAGTGTCCCTTCTACAAAGTCTTCCCTGATCCAGTTCTAACTGATGCCCTCTCCTTCTAGCTTTTGAAGAATGCATCATCAGACCACACGGGACACAGTCAGGGCTCGGCCTAGATTCCCGTAACCTGCTGTCTTGCTAGCGAATTGCTTTCTGTAGAAGCATGCTACGTTCTCACTTAAGTTGTAAGATCCTAAGGAACATGGCTCCTGCACTGTGCTGCCTTCTGTCCCCCTCAGTGGCTGTATTAGTATTATGTGTAGACTGACCGTACAGACAAGCCTGCACAGGAGAACGGGAAGACAGGCAGACAAGCAGGATCTTCGTTTCTGCGCAAGCAGAGCGCCCTCTAGTGGCCTGGGGAGCCACCCCAATTTGCATGCCAAGATCTCAGCTGTTGGGAGATTGGAAATCTGATGACCCAGTTGTGTGACTAATACTTGGCGTCTGTGTCTCTTTCTCCTCTGCAATATTGTTTCTCTCTACATTCTTAAGAAACAAGGCTGCATATTGCCTATTTTCTCTGCTCAAGAAGCACTTAAGGGGAATCTGAACTGAGCGTGTGGGCAACCTCCAAGCTCAACAAGGGATCTCTGAGGACTCATGGGAAAGAATGTCCTTGAAATCACTGACATAAGGTGATTTTCACAGAGAAAGCAAAGCTTTGTTCCGTAAGCAGAGAGTTAAAGTTCTCCATGGATCCAGAGTAGAGAAGTACTGTGACATTTGGGAAGGTTTATAGATCACCTCCTTCCACCCCCTTGTTTGACAGCAAACTGAGTCCCTGGTGGATGATCTACCCAGGGCCACACAGCTGCCAGCTTTGTTCTCCTAATTCCTACAGCAGTGTTCATCCAAACCCCAGCTCATGCAGAGGGACACCCAGCAGAGGGGAGTGGCACTCAAGGTGCCTGAGCCCATGTGGACAGGGCCATGTCACCAGTACAGCAGGGCAAGAGCGGTAAGGAGTGCCCAATTTCAGGTGATACTCAGCCCTTAAACAAACCTGGGTGGATCCCAGCTGCATTAATCAGGTGCGTAGGCAGAGCCTGGGTACAAGACAAAAGGCTAAGGAACTTGGGAAAAATCTGCCTTCTAAAGCGAAGGACCACATTGGCCTCTTCTAAGCCAATTTTCCAAAGCACATCCTGCATGCTCCTGTGGGTAGGCATTCTGGACAGGAGACTTTTTCTGTCAGATTCCAGCAGCTCTGATCTAATCCTGTGAAAGGACAGTGGCAACCAACAGCCTGCTGGGCCTGCTGAGCAGCCGGGTGCAAAGGCTGGGCAGGAGCATGGTGCCTCCTGCAGTTCACCATCCAAAGAGTGTAGGTGGGAATAAAAGCACGGGACGTTTCTTTGAGGTGACCCCATCATCAAGTCACGCAAAGCCAGCCTCCCACTCTCTGCCTACACTCTGCACTCTGACTCATACAAAATGCACACCAAAAAAAGGGGATAGAGAGAACCCAACTATGGGCTTGAGATGCCTACAGCAAAGTATAGATGCTTATGGCAAAGTTTGCCATTGTTGTATCTTCCAGATTTGATGTCAAAACTAGACGCGTTCCTGGACACCTGGACCAGAGTTTGACCCATGATAGGGAAAATGTGCTCAGTGAGGGAAGAGGAAAGGAGGGTCTCTAACATTACCCAACACCAAGGTCTCTACCATCCCACAAGAGACAGATACCACCAGGTCATGGTAAGGGAGGAGAGACACAGGGCTGATTCCCTTCCAAGGGCAAACTAATCAGAGGGTGAAGAAACTACTGCCTGGAAAATTCCTGAAAACCACTTCCAAAGTCATTTTAACTAAGGAGTCTTGTTTTAAAAAGAAACACTAAAAAAGAAAGCACAAAGATGCTCTAAAACAGGCGCTCTAGCCTTGGCACTCTACAGCCCTGGCCACGGTCTCTACCTCCAAAAGGAAAGAATCCAACAGCTCCCTTCAGGATCTCATTTTTATGCCTTCTTTCTCCCAGTGCCCCTCCATACCTGATTTTTAAATAAGTCACTACTAGGAAAATTAAAACGACTCATGCTCGGAAGGGAAAATACTCCAGGTAAGCTGCCGGGCTCACTGCCCACAATGGTTACAAAAGTACCTTGGTACCCATGCCACCGTGCTAGGCTTGACTTAGCTTTTGCCTGGTGCTTGCTGTTGGCCCATCCCTGGGGTTCACACAGATGATCCTCAAAGGAGATCCTCTCCCCACTTTGTTGTTTTATTTTTTTAACGTATTTAGTACAGGGCTTACAGGGGGTCACTACATAGACTGGACTCATAATGATTCTCCTGTTTTCAGCCTCGCAAGCACTGGGATTACAGGCATACACCACCATGCCCAGTCTCAATAGCCATCTCAGTGTGCCCCAGGGGTGGAGCCAGCATGGCACATGGGGATCAAACCCCAGCTGCTGCATTCTGCCTAAGCAGACACTTTAGTAAGCTGAGCTATCTGGCAGGTCCCTACTCTCCCCACTTTGAATGGGACAATTCTTTGTGAGACAAAACTATTGTGGGCTCTGCCCACTAAAGGTCATAAATGCTGCCAATCACACAAGGAATGGTTCCCAAACTTAGATTTTTCTCATGCCCCTCAGGAAATGGCACCACCCCTGGGTATAAATGAAGGGCTGTGAGCTATGGAAAGCTTCATGACTCGAGGGAACAGGAGGAAGAAGAGCTTGTCACCCTCCACTCACTTTAGCCACCTTGCCCTGCAGAACTGAAAAGGAAAAACTGGTGGGAAAATCATTTGTAGTTGCTAGGTAACATGAGTTTTTGTTGTCTACAGTTGCGATTTCTCCCGGCAGGGCCAGTCACTGTCACCATCTCCACTTCCCAAGCCCTTTCTTGAGGCCCCAGAGCTGGTGAGCTCGCAGAGTCCACCATCCACGCACAGTCCTCACCAGGTCAGCTTCCACTTACCTGACACAGCGTCCGACAGGACCCCGCGGACAGAAGCAAGCCCAGGCAGCACCATAAAAGTGCATACTTCACCTTCCCCATGGCCAGACCTCTTGCTTCTACAAAAATAAACAAAAGGCAAAACGTCTCCCATCAGAAGCCCTCACGATGCCACGACCCCAGCAGCCTGTGCAGATGGGCTCTGTCCAGGACCCATCCATTTGCTGTGACCTCCCTGCCGGCAGTGTTGGTGTGCATCTCCGGCCATTCAGCAGCTGCTACAGGTGTCCTTGCCGGCCCACGCTGGAGGCGACAGCAATGAGCTCCAGCACCACACCTAACACGGGAATCCTGCCCGAGGAAGCACCCTGGCCCATTCCAGCTGGTCTGGCAATAACAAGCAATAGCCCGTGCTTGGGAACAGGAATGTTCGTCTCTCTGGGCTAGGCAGTGCTGAGAATCCTGTAGGTGGCTTCAGCAGTGGATGAGCTGGGCTCTCATGGGTAAGCTTGGCCTGGAAATAAATACCTCTGGAAGGCAAGTATGTACCTCTTTTTCCATCTGTGTATCACAGGGCACCCTCAAAAGGGGTCTGCTATTGTTATATCTACCAGAAATGATGTCAAAACTAGATACATTCCTTGACATCTGGACTGGAGTTTGGCCAGTGATAGGTACAATATACTCAATAAAAGAAGAGCAAAGGAGGGAGTGTGGAGGGGAGAGAAAAAGAGGACAGATGGCAGGGGGCGTTGATGGTTCTGTCAGGTCTGGGGTGTGCATAGGATTCCCCACAAACTGTTAGCATGGAGCACTAATGATTTCAGTATTTTTCATCCTAATCAAGATCATCTTGGCAGTGGGCTGGGGATATAGCTCAGTGGCATAAGCCCCTGCCTGGCAAGTGTGAGGTCCCAAGTTCAATCCCTGGTACAGGGGGTGGGGGGGGAATATCTTCACATAATATAAATGTTTTCATGTTTAGGTGAAAATATTCAACAGACTTGGATGTTATCACAAACTCCAACAGCTATCACAAGGTTGGTGTTTGCCATCTGACCAATTTGAGCTAAGAAATCAACCATATATAATTCTAGAGCGAACAATGCCATTATTTTAAAGATGGGACAAAATGATTTTTTTTCCAGCCATTGTTTTTCAGCACCAGATTGTTAGAATCACTTAAGTTTCATTGAAATCCAATGACAGTTTGCACTACTTTATGTGGTCCATTTCAATCTGCTTTTTAATAGGCCTTTTTTGTATGTCCGTAGTTCTCCCAGGAAGGCCCAGAGGGATTACATTACTGCTTACCACTTCTAAATATATTTAATAGCACTGTAGTGGGGAAAAAAAAATTAAACTATAGCTTCACAGTTTCACCACCACACTCAGTTGTCCTTGACTACCCAGCTCCAAGCTAGAGACACCAAACTCAGCTCTGTCTATCCAGCTACACAGTCAGTTACTCAAAGGTTCTGTCCTGCTAGACTGTTTCGAGGGACAGCTAGCCCTGATAAAGTCATGCTAAATCTTGCCCGCTTGCCTGGGACCCTAACTACCTCCTGCTCCATAATAAATAGCTCCCTCTAATTAAAGGGACACATCTGCTTGACAACAGATGACTAAATACATGTAGCCACGTGTGTGTGTGTGTGTGTGTGTGTGTGTGTAACCAAGTATAGACTAACCCACTATCGACTATTTCCTGCTTACAAAAGCAGTATATAAGTTGCTGTTTTACTTTAAGCCAACGCTGCTATTTTGGGGGAGCATCCCACATCAGCCCACCAGAGCTAAACAAAGTTGCCTTCGAACTGCCCATTGCAAAGTTTTCCATTCCATTTGCTACAGTTTCTGCAATAGCTCCATGGACGCTGGACACAGCTTGGGGTAAACTGCAACAATTCATGCATGTTTTACTCTAACTTAATTCATTTATATGAATGGAAATCTACAGCAAAGCTCAACAGACCAAGGGCAAAACCAGCCTCGAAGAATTATAGCCAGTGCATGGGTAGGTTCTTTTAAACCTGAGAACAGGCCCATGCTTGTTTGTTTTTATTTTGCCTAGTGCTGGGGCTCAGCTCTCTGCTGATGCCAGCCTCAAGCCTGTGGCTGTGCTGAGTTAACTTTATCCTCAAATATCCCTATCACAGGCTGGAGATATAGCTCAGCGGCACAAGTATTTGCTTGGGAAGTTCAAGGTCATGAATTCAATTCCCAGTACCCCCCTCCACAAAAAAAAAAAAAAAAAAAAAAAAAATCCTTATTCAGACAACATGTTCTCACTCTGAAAGCAGTGGGGTATTTGTTTGTTTGGTTGGGGGTTTTTTTGGTTTTTTGTTTTTTTGTTTTTTTTTTACAAAAACAAACAAGCTTTCCTAGAGTTTACAAACTAAACTCAAGGAATTTTTACTTGGAAAAAAAAAAAAAAAAAACAGATAGTTAACTGGTTGGTTGAGCTCTGGGAACCAGTATGAAGGTAGCTTTATTTGCTTACAATTTTAATGTGTCACATTGGAAAGAAAAAATATGTTATTGTATTGCTTTACTTTAATTTTACATAGACTTAGGCTGACTATCAGAAATGCACTTTGATTGCTACCGTGTTCTGTCTAGGAGAAAAGGAGCATTTACATTTGCTATGGTGCTGGTCAGCTACTAAAGGTGGCCACACCTCTCAGGGGGCTGCAGGTGGCCTTCTTGAGAACCCTGCTGCTACCAGAGCGTGGCTACCTGCAGGCCTTCCTGCTGCCTGGGGTTCCTCTGGGTACAGGATAAGAACTGAACGCGTGCAATCTGTCCTGCCCCTCACCCCAGGTTCTCGCACCAGTATGACACTCACAAGGCTATTCTGCATTTTCTCAATTCTTTCAGCTGAAAAGAACATTTCCCAAAGTTGACTCTTTTCTGTGTGTTTAGCTGATAAAAACAGACTGCAGTTTATATACAGGGCAAGCTTTTTATTTCCCTAAGTGAACAGGATAACCGTTTTTACGATGAAAACATTAAATTTTGACACAGTGCTTTTTAAGAATCCATTATCTGACTTAAACCCATGAACCCGGGCTTTAAGAAAAGCATGTCTCTTCCCAGTGTATTGACACCAAGCCCATGTCATCACTCTTTTCCTGAGTCTATGAAAGTGGAGCCTTGACAGAAGCTGAAGGTCTGATGCAAGGACAGGCAGCAAGACTCTTACATCATCCAGACCCAGAGCAGAGACCTTCCCGGGGCGGCACAGCAGTGCATGTGCCCGGCTTGTTTCCTTCAGTTTCACTCCCTATCCTTTCTGCTGTCCCAGTCTCCCTCCCTGTAACTAGAAAACTACCTTCTAGTATTCTGTCCTCTTTTGTTTTCAGACTCACTTATTTCTGTGCATTTTTAGGTATCTTATATAAGAGAAAGCACGTGATTTCACACTTTCTAAAGACTCCTGTTTTAACCACACAGTTCCTGGTCCCCAGAGCCTCCATTCCATCTTTTCTTTTTCCGTCCTTTTGAGACAGGGTCTCTCTATGCCGCTCAGGCTGGCCTTGAGCTCACTTTGTAGCCCAAATTCAAAAAAGGTCCTCCTGCCTCAGCCTCTGCAGGGATGGGATTACAGGCGTGTGCTACCATGTCCAGCTCTCTACTCCATCTTCTGATGGAAATCCACAGGAGTCTGCCCCCGACACTCCATCCCTGGCCAGCCTGGCAGCTGGAATAGAGCTGGAAAGCGGTGGAAACTGGAGCATTAACAGCCTTCCGAACAGATGTTCCAATTGCTGGCTCATCTCAACCATCTCAAAACAAGGTTTACTCTCTTAAGACCACACAACCTAGAGCCAGGGAGATA